AGTGACACAGGGCACCACCAGGCCTTCTGTAGCAACCCTGGTGTCTCCTGCACGTTAACTCCCCACTGCCATGGAGCGGCGCACAGCCACTGGCTCAGGGGTGGGCACGTGGGTATCTCTGTGAGGCCCTTACTCTGTCTACTGATAAAAACTTCCACTGAGAGCTAGCAATGGCCTGTTTACAATGTGCACAATACTACACAGGGCACTTCCAGCGTTAGCTCACATAACCAACCCTGATGGTACAGTTAGCATCCCCATTTTATAGATGACAGGGAGGAACCATCCACTTGAATCCAACTCAGACAGGACTGATACCTGCCCACAGGACTTCTAAGGCTGTCATCTTTGCAGGCAGGAGAGCCCGTCTTTCTCCCGTGGAACAGCTGGCTAGTGGCTAAGTTTTAACCACTGTGGCACCACCAGGATTCCTGAGTGAGGCGAATTAGCTTGCCCAGAATCATCCCACTCCCAAACGGGAGCTTGAACTCGGGCTGCCTGGCCCCAGAGTCTGTTCTTAACCACAGCCTTTGCAGCCTCTCATGCAAAACCCACAGAGGGCCTCAGGCCACCACCTCAGAACACGACTTCTGTCATGTGCCATCGAGTCAGAGCTGACCCTCCGGCGCGTTTTCAGAGGCTGTAAATCACACAGGAGGAGAGTGTCCATCTTCCCACTGTGGAGCAGCAGGTGGATTTGAACCGCCTATATTTGGGTTGGCAGTGCAGTTCCTTACCACCAGGCCAATCAAGCTCAGAGAATAGGACTAAGGACTCTCATGCTGGTGCAGGACTAAGGACTCTCATGCTGGTGCATGTGTACTGACTCACATACGAATCATCACACATTATGGTGTGTGTGGCTAAGCTGATTCTGACTCATCATCATAGTCCCATGTGACAGAGTAACACTGGGGTTTCCAAGGTGACTGTCGTTAGAGAAGTACACTGCCAGATTTTTCTCCTGAGGAGCGGCTGAGGGCTGCTTGTCTAACCACAGTGCTACCACGGCCCCTTACTATATAGATAACTGGCAGGTTTTGCCCTTTCTTCTCCAGGCTATCTGTAGTCCATACGAGAGTCCTGCAGTCTGTATTGAGGGGCACTCTGACCATGCCCACCGAGGACCATATTCAAGCAGCTGTGCCCCTTCTGAGCCTGTACATACAGATGTGTACACATCTGTACACACACACACACACACACACACGGCTGCTAACGCACAGATCAACAAATTGGTTTGTCCCTCTGAGCAAAGATTCCGTGGAATATGATACCCTAGCATTCCGCATTCCAAACGGGGCTGCAGAAGACTAGAAACCGACTGGAGATTCTTCCAGGCCAATGCTTTCTAGAGTCTTATACGCACACAAACCACCACGATCTTGTCAAAACACAGACCCTCATTCCAGGGGCTAGGCTGGGGCCTGGAGGTGTCTTTCTAAGAAGCTCCAGCTGCTGCTGCTCCTGGTGTGAGGGCCAATCCTGGCCTGATGACCATACAGCAAGAGGCGAGGGCCTTAGATTTCAGTGCTTTTTCTCTGCCAATATTGTACAGACATTGAGTTACTCAACACCCACTGTCAAAAGCTGTAGATAAATAAAACAGAGTCTTGGCTCCTATAGAATTCCCAGCAGAGTTAGGGACCTGGGAGGTTCTTCTGAATTCCACAAGTCAAGGAAAATAAGAAATAAAAACCCCAACATCATTAAAGATAAAAACCCCATGGAACAGCCTGCAGAGTGAGAACACGTCCGCTGCCTGCACTGGAAGTGATGCTGATGCAGAGGGGGTACCACTCTCTAGTCAATGACTCAGTGGATGACATGAGCTATGATGAGCCCAGCTACTCCTGGGGAGCAGAGTGATGCCTAAAAACCAGTAAAATCCACGGACAAAGAACCCCGGTAAGCCATCTCTCTCTGGTCATTCCTCTCAGTGTGGCCAAACTTATTCCCACCATGTGCGAGTGGGAAGTAAAAAAACGGTGAAACTAGGGCAGTCACAAAAGTGGTGTCTGAGGAGAGAAGCAGCCAGAGGATGGTGGACAGGCTGACAGTGGGAGCTGAACAGGACGGGGCTTCAGAGACCGTCGCAGAACAGTCCACACTCTTCTGCTTAGGAGCAAACATAAACCTAAAACAGGCGAGGCTGTGGCTTGGCTGTCACAGCTAAGAGACTGCCTCTAGTGGGGAGGGGCTCACGGTCCTGCTAAGGTCCCTACAAGGCGCAGGACGGCCTACAACAACAAAGATCTGTTTAAATGGCCAATGTGTCTGTCTCAAATGTCAAAAAACTGAGTGGAGGCATCCAGCCAAGGTCAAAGAACAAGTATCACAGCATGAACATGGTAGTGCTATCCAATGGTGCTGGCTGTACTGACAGATAGTTTAACACCTAGCTGTGCTCATTTGGGATCTGGGAACAAAACAATGGGATGTTGGGTGGCTCAAAACTGGAAAAAGCACGTACTGGCTTGTAAAAGATTTTTACCTTACTTCAATCCATATGCTGAATGAATAATCTGAAGAATGCAGTAGCAAGACTGAAGATTCATTAGCAACCCAGTACCAGCAGATAACACAACTCTGCTTGATAAAGGTGAAGATGACTTGAAGCATTTACTAACAAAGGTCAAAGAGCTTACAGCTCTTATTATATGTAAAGATGAAGAAAATGAAAATCCTCACAACTGGATAACCAAGCACGACGATCACTAGAGGAAAAAGGTGGGCTTGTCAATGATTTCACTCTACTCCTCAACTCGGAGGAGCAATCAATGTCACTGGAAGTATATAAAGAGAACATCAGCTGTGGAAGATCTCGTTCCAGTTTAAAAACAAAGACATCGCTTTGACGAGTGAAGTGCAAGAACCAAGTTATGGTTTTTTCCAGTTGTCTCATATGCGTACACAAATGGGGTAAGAAAGAAAGGCAGGTAGAAGATCTGGTGTATTTAAACTGTGGCAAAGAATGGATAAAGTGGTCTGAGAAAATGTACAACCTGAAAGACCCTTGGAAGCAAAAATGGCCAGATTTCACCAGGAGAATACGATGTGTTTATTTTAGATATGTTAACAGGAAAGACCAATTGCTTGAAAGGGGCTCAATGTGCAGTAAAGCAGATGGTCAGTGAGGAGAAAGGAAACCCTCAATGATGTGGACTGAGATGCCAGCTATAACAGTGAAAACATGCCAACGTCATTAGAATGGTGCAGGACCATGAAACGTTATGCTCTGTTATGCAAAAGGTTGTCACAAATTAAAGATTTTTCTATAGCTACTAACAATAATAATACCCACATGTGGCGAGGGAAAGAAACACGGCAACTGGGACTGAAAAACCGAAGTCATTAAATCTTACTGGACTGTAATAATTTAAAAAGCCGCTCACAGTCAGTGGCTCCTGGACCAGACAGGGCAAAACTAGAAGCCACATGTCATGACTCTTCCAGTCTATGTCATTTTACACTTCTGGATGAGCGCAATTATCGACCCACTTGATTTTATCATTAAGATTTGGCTGGCAAGATAAAAAGAAAAATAATAAAAGAAAAAAGAAAAATTGTTGTTGTTAGTTGCCATCAAGTTCAATATGACTCACAGTGACCCTATGAACTAAAGCTCTGAACTCCATTCTATCCTGTGCCATCCTCACACTTCTTGACACACAAGAGCAGAATGTAGCAGTTACTGTGTTAATATACCTGGTTGAGGGTCTTCCTCTCCTGGCTGACCATTCACCCTTCCAAGCATCAAGTCCTTTTCCAAGGAATAGCCCCTCTTACTAACATGCCCAAACCATGTGAGGCGAAGCGTTATCATTCTTGCCTCCAAAGAGCACTCTGGCTGCACCCTCTCCAAGACATATATTCTGTTTCTTCTCTTGGCTGTCGACAGGATGTTCAGTGCTCTTCTCCAACACCACAGCTCAAAGGTCAATTCTTTTTCTGTCATCTTTACTCACGGTCCAGCTCTCAGAAGCACAGCAAGTTATTGGAAAGGCGATGGCCCAAATCAGATGCACCTTAGTCCTCAAACTGACATCATTATTTCTCAACAAGTTAAAAAAAACAACAAACCCACCAAAAAAACAAAACCCAAACCCCACAACAAAAACTCCCACAAATAAAAAGACTTAGCTGGCAAGAAATACACAAGTAAAATAATAACAACAACAACAACAGTAAAATCTCAAGTAAGCACTTCTTGTTAAACATCTCATTTTCTATACTGAAGAAGATAGTAAAAGGTTAGATCACGGTAAATAGGTCAAAAACTCAAAACTCATTTGCCATGGAGATGGAACTGACTCACAGCTGACCCTCCAGGCAGGAGGCTAAACATCCTGAGAGACTGTCCATCTTTTTTCAGAGGAGCCACTGGTGGATTCGAACTGCCAGAATGACACTGACTTTGGGTTAACAGTGCGACTCTGTACAAGCCTGTGCTACCCACACACATGTAATTACAATGCAGAAGCATCAAAGGTCAGATTATTTCCACTTCTACTTGTAGAGAAAGCTTATGTGTCAGAATAAAATCACCTTGTGAGTTCTTGAGATCATGAAGTTTCGGGATGACTTCTCCACTTGGTCTTGGAACAGACCCGTCATGTTCTCAGAATTGGGTAAGAACACGAGGACTCTGCACCACTAACAAATTCTCAAGCTACCTTCACAGGGGCCGCTCTTTCAGATTCTGATGGCGATCACGAAGTGCCAGGTACGGTGCTAACGCACTGCACACGTGAAGTCGGTCCTTTGGTCACCAGGAGGTTAAAGAACTTTGTCTAAATCACACACTCAATCAGAAGCAAGTAGGGGCTCGAATTCAAGTCTGCTCTTGAGCACTGTGCTAACTGCGTGAAACCTGGCCAAGTTATCAAGGCAAAGTGACAGGGGCCAGGAGTCCCCTGGGGGAGCAGAGCAGCGAGAGGACAGCACTGTCAGGATGGAGTCCCGGCCCCGCTCCCTACGCCCGGCTCACGGGCTCTTACTTCTCGATCTCCAGCGCTGCCACCTTCCTCTTTTCGTACAGCTTGTCATTGAGGGCGCGCACGATGTTGGGCGTGAGTGGCGCGAAGTCCTTCTCGGTGTTCATGATAGCAGGTCCGGGGGTACCCGGGGCCCCGCGCCTCCTCAGCCCGCAGCTGCCCGGGCAGCGTCGTGGTCAGTGGAGTCTGTGGCTCCGCGCTGCCCCCGGCACCGGCTCATGTGCCACGCCGCCCGGGCTGCCTGCTTCGCTCTGCCGCCGCCGCGCGCTGCCTCAGAACTCCGGCCCGAACCCCGCCCCTGCACACCTGCTCCTGGCCGCCTAAAGGCTCACGCGACCCGCTCCCGCCCAGCGCCGGCAGCGTTCAAGGAGCAGCGGCCATGTTACTCGCATCACATGACCCTGAGGCAGCTTCCGCCTTCCGCTGCGAGGACCCGCCCCTCGCCAGCCCCGCCCCGCACGCGGGCAGGCCACGCCTCCAAGACTCCGCCCCTTCACCTCGGCCGCGCCCCACCCCGCCCTCCCGCTCAGTTAGCCTCAGTGCGACAGGAGACGTGCTTTACGGCACCACGCTCTACTGCTCCATGGTCGGTGGTACAGTGGGAATTCTGTAGATTTGGAACCTACATAATGATCTCCATGCACACGGAATTCGTTAATTCATTATCAATTACCTATTACCGTATATATCATTGTTGAAGCGCAGAGAGGAAGACCCTGAACAGATGGATTGACACAGTAACTGGGTTAATAGGGGTACTTGTGTCGGGGGCAGTGAGATTGGCTCGGCACAGGGCAGGGTTCAGAGCTGTCGTGCATGAACCGCCAGCGACTTGATGGCACAGAACAATAAAGTGGAGTTACAACATAATACCCTAGCTGCAACTACTGTCATTATTTTTTAAAATAAACTATTTAAAAAATGGTGAAATTCTGAGGTTGACCTTTTACCATGGGTTTGAAGAGCTAGTTAAAACATTAATCACAGACAGTGCTACCTAGCGCCCAAAACTGTACAAAGTAGCTGTTGTCCCCTCCCCCCATTTAGGAGTCGGGGTGTGCGGACCTGGAAGGGCGAGATGATAGAGGCCAGAGCCTAGTGGAGCCTGGATCGATCAACGGCAAAGCCCCGTGCATTCACAGAACAAAATTTGAGACCCTGTGTTAAAATTTTAAAAAGCAACCTGTGGGCACTAGGATGATAAAGATCCATCATTCTAGTTATCTGGTGGTGTCCTAACAAAAATCACCTACTGGTTTTAAACAACAGAACTTCACAGACCTTAAGACTTGAGTCCAAACCACTCTTTACCATGTTGATGTGTGTGTGTGGTTTATATTTTTTGGGGTCCAGCCCTAACCTCTACTTGTGATAAAGAACTATACTTTCCCATTTGCAAGTTACGGACTGAATTATGTTGCCCTAGAACTTGTACTGACATCCTGGCTCCTGCACCTGCGATGTGAACCTGTGCGTTAATGGGGGCTCTCTCAATTGAGGCTGGCTGGATGAGGGTTAATAAGGTGGTTGACATCTTGATTTCAGCTTGTTGAGACTCTGAGCCATGGGACTTGCTCACCACATTTCTAAGTCCTGACCTAGTGAAACTAAGAGATAATAAATTTGTGTTGCAATTTGCCATGCATCATAGAAAACTAATGCATAGGTACCCAAAACTCAAGCACCCTGAGTGGCTCAGTGGTCAAAATGACTTGGCTGCTAACCGAGAGTCATGGTTGGAACCCACCGGCTGTTCCACAGGAGGAAGCTGTGACAATCTGCTTCTGTCAAGATCTACAATCTTGGAAACTATATGGGCAGTTCTGTTCTGTCCTACTGGGTGACTTGGTATCAAGTGGTGGAATGGACTTGCCACCAATGAGTGTGGTCGTGGAGGAATTGGATCTAGAAAAAGACTTTAAGCCTGTGTTTGCCCTTACTGGAGGGTTTTCCCACAGCTGTAAAAATCTTTGCCAGTGCAATCCAGTGAATGAAGGCCACCAACAGTCTAACTGATGTAACAAAAAAGATTTAGCTCCTAAGAAAATGTATGTCTTCCTAGTTTCATTTTGATAGCAAGTGGCACTGCCAAAGACTTTTTTTTCTTCTTCAAGACGTCTTTAGGAACTCTATTCAAATTCATGGCCTGAGACGAACAGAAACATACTTTGTAATCTTAAACTATGTAGATGATCTCCTGTTTCTCTTCACAGGCAATAGAGATTGGGGTGCCTCCTTCTAAACTGTCAGTTCAACAAAATATAGTTTATATAAAAGATAGTTTTGTGGAAGCCAAATATTTGCTTCATTAAAGTGAAGAACAATTATAATGTAGCTGCAACAGCGAACACCAATTCTTGATTATGACAAAGAGGGAACTATAGTGTCTGACTGGGGAAATCATTCTAACTTTATTTGACAGTGTCATGTTATAGTTTGATTCCTCAGGCATCACTCCATTTGACAGTTCGTGCAGAAAACCCACTATTGTAGTTGTGTTGGGATCTGGAAAGGACAACCTTGGCCTTCCACACTTGCTGCCAGAACCACTAGCCAATGTCCAGCACCTGTGTTAACTCCTCAATGGCGACAAGGCAAGGGCTTGACAGTGCCCACCTAGTGGGTTTCTGGCTCTGCCAAAGACTTTTAAAAACATTGTACCACCTTTATGTCTATGGTTTTGATGATAGTTGATGCAAATCTATACAAATAAAACAAACAGAATCATGAGGATCAAATTCTCCAAGCATATAAATTTCCATGGGACTCATATCTAGTACATTTCTTCTGTTTCTTTCACTTATTTGTTTGACTTTTTCTTAAAGGTGAATTGAATATCCCAAGAGTCATCACATAATCCGGTTTCTAATCACTGAAAAAGCAAAGATGTTTTTACAGAAGGAAATACTTTTCTCCTGAAATTGCATTTGGGATTAGGTTGCTAAGAAACTACCTTCTTATTAAAACCCCAAACCACTGCTCTGTCCTGCCTTTGGATGGGATGTTTCTCCCTCTTCTGCAGGGTGGAGGGAGGAGAGAATGGGGGCAGAGGAGCTGATGCTCAGTAATAGGTGTGGCTCAGAAACAGATCTACTTCAGGGCCAGTCTTTTAACCATCCTTCTTTCTTTCTTTAAAATACTAGGATTTTTTGTTTTGTTTTTACTACTTATGTATAGCCAACAAGGAAGCTGTCCTAGTGACTAGAGCAAGACTCAAGGAAGGGAGGCTGGGAGCCATGTCTGTGGTTGAGAAACACGCTCTACTGGGTGGAGGTGGAAGGTCTGGTGCCTTCCTTGGGATGTTTCCTTACTTGAGAAAGGCACTGATATAGATCACCACCCTTTAGAAGCACAGGAGATAGCGGCACTTCACACACACACACACACACACACACACACACACACACACCACGTCCTCCCCCTGGAAGGAGACTCCAGCCCAGTGGTAGCACGAGTGGCTGGGTGGATGTATCATCTGCTGGGAACATTTTCAGAGAGGACGACGGTGGTCATGCCCGCCCCAGCCCAAGTAATCACTGCGAGGGGTGGAGGGGAGAAGAAGTGAGCAGAGCTCTGGACTCAGGTTACTCTGCCCACCGCTCCTTGCTCTACAGGCTGTCTGGTGGCTGTGCACCAGGTTAGGAGGAGGGCAGAGGGTCGTCATCCGTGCACCTCCAGAAACTGGCCACCAGCAGGAACAGAAGTGGGATTGAGACTTGATCCTAAAAAAGCCAAGGAAGATGTGCACTGGAGTGGTCCCCTCCCTAGACCTGCCATCAGTCCCTAATGTTACCTCGTCATCATTTTGATAATTGGCCCTTATTTGGCTCTGAAGTGAACGCAGAACAAAGGGACACACAGAGTCATGTCCAAAGACTCTATGATGATGTTAGCTTTTCAAAAGAAACTGCAAGGCTCCAGACTGTGAACTGCTCAGTGCTGTCTGATGGGAGATCACAAGCGTGGTAACAGTCTTTTTAACAAAGGGCATTTTTACAGAGCACCAATGGCAGGAAGTTAAATTCTGGGGCTAGTAAGGAGACAGTTATCTAAAATACAGGTCTGCTGTGTGTCGATACTATGAAATACACCACAAAATACACATATGTGCACATATAAAATATATTTGGAATATTATCTACTATGGAAGTAACTGCCCTAATAATTTAGTGAGGAGAACAACAGTATCTTTAGAATTCTTATCTCTGGTCAGGCCAGGACAATACAGAGAGAGAAGGCTGAGGCAATGGCTTCTTGATGGTGCAACTGTCTGGCCTCTACGGGGTGATCCCCTTCAGGTAGTACACCCACTTAATTCCCGTCTCACTGCCCTCCCCAGGAGGGCAGGACACAATGAGCTTGCTTGTGATGGGGATTTTGGTGCCAGAGGGGTTTCCTTCAAAGGAGACTGTGATGTTGCTGACCTTCTTGGGCCGCATGGTGTCGCTGGCGCGGACGGTGAAGGCTGGGTTCTCCACGATGAAGGAGTAGGTTACCGTGTGGAAGAAGACGTTCTTGAAGGGGATGACGATGTTGTACCCAGCTCGAATCAGGAAGGGGCCCTGGGGCTTGGGGAGCAGGGCCATCCCGAAGAGGGGGATGGTATACTCGCCGCCAACGAGCGAGGACAGGCTCAGGGTGCCCTTGGTCTCCCCGAGGCGGCTTGGCTCGAAGATGACTTCCACGCTGACCTCGGTGCCGCCCTGGGTTCCCGAGGCCACGGGGATCACCCTTTCCGTGTGGAAGTCAGGACAGTCGGCCTGCAAGGGGAACAGACGCACGGTGCTCACGCAGGTTCCTGGATTCAGGGATCATCTGCAGCCCCTCCGCGTGGGCACGTGCGCGCAGGTTGCGCTTGTGTGACCCAGGTGATCAAGCCGGGTCCTTGGCCTACACGCAGGAGAGGGTACCGGGACTTGTCAGCCCTGTCTGCCCAGGAAAGTAGCTGAGGCTCACAGATGGCAAATGACCGGTCTCGAGACCTGCATGATGCTGGTGGGCCACGTGTTGGTGCTGCCCCTCCACCTCTGGTTTGACTGTCCCCTCAGCTCAAGGACTAGAGAATGTCCTGTCATTGTATACAGGCTAGACTAGTCCAGGGCAGTTAGTTGTTAACGGATGCGTTTACCTACAGCACCATCTCTCCTGTCTACCCTCAGAGCCGTGACTCCAAGCACTTGGGATGGTGGTGTGTTCTTAGTGCTGGTTCTGTCCCTCCATAGCGCACCGGCTAAGACGCCTGGTGTGGGACAGTGAAGAAGTTTTGTTTTACGGGCTATGAGTGGAAGTGTTATCTGCAACCTCCCTCTCCCTAAGCTGCTCATGCCCAAGCTGTAATCTGAAAGGGGAAGGAACGTCTATTTTGTTGTTTTGGTTTCTGTTTCAGTAGGAAGAGAGCTCTGGTCATTTAGCTCCCAGGGAGTTGTGCTGTTGACCCAGAGGCCATGCTGACGGTTCAGATTCACCAGCAGCTTTGAGGGAGAAGGACAAGCACTCTCTGCCTGTGTGATTTATATCCGTGGAAACCCACGCTGCAGGGTCAGCAATGAGTCAGTGCCAACTCAACGGCAGTGAATGAGTATGCGCATAGTAAACGTGACGTGTTTACCGCTATGGTAGCTAATGTTTATTATGGAGCACTTTCCTCTGGGTCACGACTGTGAAAACGGCTATGTTTAGATGCATCTAAAAAATCCGCCCCCCCCCCAATCCTAGGAGGCCAAGGGGATGTTATCCCTTTCTGAGTAAGTCGGGGAAGTCTAAGTAAGTTGTTCACACAATGAGGAAGGGTGAAGCCAGGAATCAAGTCCCGACTTGTTCAACCCCTCAGCCTGTCCTCTGACCGCCGAGCCATGTGCTGTCTTACTGACTTGTTGATGTCTTATCGACTGTGTCATTGACAGTGGGCCCTCTGTGAGGAGCTGACCTGACTCTGACAGGCTGGGGGAGTTGCTCCCTTGTTAAGCTACAAAGTCAGCAAAGGAAGAGCCCAGGCAGGTGCAGTTTGTTTCCAGCTCGGAGTTCCCAGGACAGAGTCTGGCCACTGAGGTGGGACCACAATGACTCCCTCTGGGTTTCTGAGTCCTGCACCCACTGGCTGTCCCTCCTGTGATTTCTGAGTCCAGCAGAGGGGTGAGGGGAGGGCAGGGGCCACTCACCCGGCAGAGGTATTCTGTCTTCTGCCGGCTGTAATTGGTAAACTTGGCAAAGACACTCTGGCTGCTGCCAATGACTGTCTGGAAGTGGACGGGCTTCTCGGGCAGGGCGGGGATGCCCTTCAAGCTGAGCTCATATAGGTAGTAACCCAGTTCACTGTTGTGCAGGGTCAGTCTCCCGAAGGTTTCTCCGGCTTTCAGGGGTTGGAACTCAAATGAGAACAAGCCCTGGAAAAGAAGACACAGGTCCTTGATGTGCGGGAGTCTGGCCCTTCCCAGGCCACCCGACATCGACCCCAGTGCGAGTGGCACAACGTTGGCACAAATGGTCTCTCCAGGCAAATGCTCAGGTTGATCCTGAGCCCGAGGACCTCGGCCAATCGGGCTATCTTCCCGCCCGCAGCTCCTCTATCTGCAACCTTCTGAGTCTGGACCGGGGGACTCAAGCTCCTTTTCTGAGAGTCACTTGGCGATGGGGCCTAGAGTGCTGTCAGCAGGAGCTCAGAGGTCAGGCAGCTCCTTCTTTGCTATAGTCCATCTCGGGCCTGCTTCCCGGTCTCTGCCTTTGCTCGGGGAGGCTCTGTACTTCTATCACTGTCGAGAGCAAAGCCAAACCAAACCAATGCAACTGCAAAACATGGAGAGCAAGCCAAAGACCCACGGGTCGGGGCTGCTCGGGTAGGTTTCAGCTTAGCCCCTTGGGTGGGTTATTATGACGGCGTTGACAGGGATGGGGGGGGCACTGAGCAGTGACATCGGCGCACTGATGAGTCATGAGCGGAAGGTGCTCAGGAAAGCATCTAAAGCAGGCGCTCATCTCCATGGAGAAGACGGTGCCGAGACCGCAGGTCTACAGCAAACCATTACAGGGTCCTGGTATCTGGGGTGGGGCAGGTGATGGGTGCTTTTTCTTCTGCTTCACTGACTTTTGTGTAGTGAGAATTTTGGTCCTGCCATGTACATTTATTTTTTAAACAGCTCTGCTGGAGCAGCCTGTAGGAGGCTGTGCTGTTCACACCAGGCTAAGCCTTTCCAGAGTTTGCCTCCCTGAGGCTGCTCTGTGGGAGAATGATGGGCAGGCTCCTCCCATGCCGTTTGAAACCTACTGGAGGGCCTGACTTGACGGCAATGAGTGAGTTTACTATTGAAAAGCACAGAATACACAAGGAAACAGAACAACTCAATTCATTGCTATCTCTCGCTTGAAAAGAAGGTTATCACTGAAGTTGTTGCAGACACGTAACAGAGAGGATTAACAGTAGCAAATGTCTATTAAATGGACAAATAAATTTTAAAAAGCCTTATAGAAACAAACTCAAGAAGGCATACAAAGACATTGAGTCTGTGTTCAGAAACCACCCCTCAGTAAAATCCCATGATCACAAACTTTTACTTGCAAATTCAGCCAATCATGGTTGAATGACTTCTAGACTTCCACAAATTAGGACCCACCCTGACTAGTGAGCGTTGACGAGACAACAACAGATAGGAACCCCATCTGTTACACCCGAGCCCACTGTTATACTCACTGCATCCGCCCATCTCACTGAGGGTCTTTCTCTCTTTCGTTGACCCTTTTGATGTCCTTTTCCTAGGACTGACCCGTCCAACAACATATGGAAGCCTGCGAGGCCACGTGCCACCGTCCTTGCCTCCTGGAGCGCCCAGGCGGTGACCGGGGAGCACGCATCCGGTGTGCGGCTCGCCCGCTCTGTGTCCTGTGTGCGGCACACCTGCTCTGCCTGCACGCCCGCTCCGTGTCCTGCGTGAGGCAC